GCTGGTCGGCCTCTACTACCCGAAGATGAAGGACACCACTGGCTCCCTCTCCCACATCGTCAGACATGACAAAACCAACACGGTCTCCCAGGAGTAGCTGCTGGCTAGACCCCCCCTCGCTGCCGCTGCGTGCAGCCGCTGAGAGCGAGCTTTGACCCCAGCAGACGCAGCTTCCCCACAGAGGAGGGCTCTGCTCACCGTGCCTCAGTTTACCCTTCAGTGGGCACGACCCACCTGAGCAGGGCTTTCTGCTTCAGGTCCCTTGTCTGCAGTGACCTGCCTTGGGCAAGGAGCTCCAGAGATGTCCCTGCTGCCGAAGTCCTTCTGGAGACGTCCCTGCTGCCGAAGTCCCTCTGGGCTGCAGCTCCCCTGAGCTCTTGAAGCACCCTGATCTCACTCCCCAGGGCCTCTTGTGAGGGTGAGGAGGGAGCCCACAAGCTGCCTGCCTTCAGCCACCCCCCTCTTCACTAGAGATGGCCTTTGGTGCTGGACCAAGCCCGGCGGTGGGTTGTCCTGCTGTTGGAGGCAGGAGGATGGACTCGCTCCAGCCCAGACTCAGGAACTTCAGGTGTGGGAATCAGCAAAAAAGGAGAAATCCCACAAGTTTCTTTGCAACACGTCCTCTCCAAACGGACTGGGGCCAAGCTCTTGGGGCAGGGATCTCCTGGACATTCCTCGTGCAGAACACCCTCTGGGGCCAGCAATGGTTTCTGTGAGGACACCGTGCTTCAGCCGAATTACACGCGCTGCCGCCTCGCAGGGAAGATGCTCGTCTTCTCCTTATCCATGTTTTAGTATTAAACCTCTGCCAGCTGTCTGAGCACTATGGATTTAGTCTTTGATGCTTACAGAATTGGTTCTTGTTTGCTTTATATTAGGGACGTACTGATGGGCAAAAGTCTTGCTGGCAGTTTGTCATGAATGAAAGGAGAAATCTGCAATGAATGAAGGAAGAAATCCGTACAGATAGGCGTATAGACACACGCCTGTGCTCGTCCAGAGCAGCCCTTTCTCTGCTAACGCTGCGTCTGTGGCCCCCAGAATCACGCAAAGTCCAGCTATGGTGGGTGAGTATCTCCACCACGTGCCTGGGAGGCTCTCTGGGGAGGCGGAAAGGGGGAGGAAGGAACCTCCCATCCCTGGGTACATGTTTTGAGACCAGAGAGCATGGGCCAGGAGGGTATGAGAAGCTCTTAGGGATACGATGGGGAACAGAAACACTCTGATGTGACCCATCCTTCAAGCACCGTTTTACATGCAACCATGGCCTCCTTCCCCAAACACCCTCTAAAGACACAGGCAAGAGCCTCTCTGCTACTGCTGCATTTATTCAGAAACAGCCATTTTCTACACCGTTCGGCGCCTCGCGCTGA